ATGGAGGGTATATTAAGTCCGTCATTTCGTTTGTAACACCTCGAAATATACATTTTAGACCTCACAAAGTATATATATTCCTGATCAGCATAAAATTCTATATCGATTTAGCGATGTTCGTCCGTCTATCCGTCTGTCCGTCTGTGGTAATCACTCTAGCTTCCGAACGAATTGAAGTAGATTGCTAAAATTTTACTCAAATGTATATTATGCCTGCAGGACTTTTGGTATTGAAAATAGGCCATGTAGGTCCACGTTTTGGTAGAGCCCCGATACAATGGTACTCCCCCATATTTGGTATTTTGATGATTTTAGCGACAATATTCATCGGAATTGTTTCAAATTTGGTATTTGAAGTTCGAAATGACAGGAGATTGTCTGTGCAGGTCCACGTCTTCGTATAGCTCCCATATAATTGTACCTCCCGATACTCGGCATTTTGATGATTTTAGCGACATTTTGACAGGAATTGTTTCAAATTTGGTATTTGAAATAGATACTACAGCCTAAGACAGAAAATTGTCTGTGCAGGTCCACCTTTTGGTATAGCCCCCATATAACGGTACCTCCCGATATTCGGTATTTTGATGCTTTTAGGTACAATATTCATCGGAATTATTCCAAATTTGGTATTTGAAGTTCGAAATGTATGCTACAGCCTATGGCAGGAGATTGTCTGTGCAGGTCCCCGTCTTCATATAGCCCCCATATAACGATACCTCCCGATATTCGGTATTTTGATGATTTAGCAACATTTTTGCCCGAAATTGTTTTAAATTTGGTATTTGAAGTTCGTAATGAATTCTACAGTCTAAGACGGAAAGTTTTCTGTGCAGGTCCACGTTTTCGTATGGCCCCCGTATAACGGTATCTCCCGATATTTGGTATTTTGATGATTTTAGCGACATTATTCACCGGAATTGTTTCAAATTCGGTATTTGAAGTTCACAATGAATACTACAGCCTAAGACAGAAAATTGACTGTGCAGTTCCACGTCTTCGTATAGCCCCCATATAAAGGTACCTCTCGATATTCGGTATTTTGATGACTTTAGCTACATTATTCGCCGACATTTTTTTCTAAGTTTCGTATTTGAATATTGTAATGGCTTATGACAAAAGTTACCTATGCAGGTCTACGTCGTCGTAATATAACAGCTACACACGGTTTTTCTAAAATTTTAACAGAATTTTTAACGGATTTTATTGCTTTTGAGAATTGCCAAATTCGTTCCAAATGGTGGAGGGTATTAAAAATTCGTCTTGGTCGAACTTATCTGCTTATTTTTACTTGTTTATTGCTATTATTATTTTTGATGTACTTGCTAAAAATCCACATGGAAGTGGTTTTTTATTGGTGTCTTCTTCATATTGGTTCCGTGCCCAAGCAACCGGTGAGGAGATAACAATCTTTCAAAGAAATAAAAGTGGTGTTGTTTCTTAAGATGTTTATGGGCCCACCGAAAATTAGGGGGTGTAGACTTTATTGGGGCAATTAAGTTATCAGCGTGTGTGTTGAAACGATGTTATCATATGGTGAGCTGTTACCATATGGTCGCATATATACTTTTGGAATATTTGGGAATTAATTACTGGTTCGATTTAATTTCTAAGTGGCCAGAAAAATTTTCAGATTTTATTTTTTTAAATAATTTTTGAGGATTTCTCCCAATACTTTTTAAGCACCAACAGAAGAATAATAACGTTTTAATTAATATTTAGGAAAGCTATAAATGGGGATTTTTAAGGATGTTAGGGATATTTTCGTGGATTTTTTTATACCCTACAGCACTATGTGTAAGTTTGAAATATTGGTTTCCCGCATAGAAAAGTGTATATGGATCGTCCTATCTCGCCATGCTGAGTCGATCTAGCTATGTACGTCTGTCTGTCCATGTTAATTTGTAATCCAGCTACAGTTCGCAATTATGGCCCGATTCTCACGAAATTGGAAATGGAGGTGGGGTTAGGGTCAGAATAGAACCCTATTGTTTTTGGAGATGATAGCAAAATATGAAGGGGTTAAAATGGACGAAAAACAGAAAAATTTCCTAATTTTGCAGTTGCTCTATAGAAATTTACGAGGAGTTAGTGTTTAGGACTGGGCAGAAGCCTACCAATTTGGGCAGCCATCGGACAATAATTAGCGGGTAAAATATAACCTAACATTTATATAAGAAAATAGGAAATTTTCAACTAAACCGCGAATATTTTTAATCCCAGCCAAAGCTCAAATACATTAAATTATCGTCCGAACCTCACGATCCGTGTGGGTTATGAGTCAGAAATAAATCCTATTGTTCTCAAGATGTAGTTTACGGGTTTAAATGGACTAAAAAATATTAAATTTTTCTAATTTTTGTAATCGTCCTATAGACCACAATTAAAAATTAATCGACACCGAATTTCGCATCAGAAGAGAGTTAAGGACAGGGAAGAAATCTAAAATCATCAAAATACCAAATATCGGGGGGTACCAATATATGAGGGGCTCTACAATATCGTGGACCGATATAGCCCATTTTCGAAACTGACCTGCGTGCATACAAATGACTGATCTGTGGAAAATTTTAGCTTCCTATCTTAATTCATTTTGACTATAGAGTGATTACAACAGACAGACGGGCGAACGGACGGGCAGAGCTAAATCGTCTTAGCTGATCAAGAATAAGAGTTACAAATGATATGATGGAATAAATGTACCCTCCATACTATGTATGGTGGAGGGTATACAAATCTTAGAAATACTCGTGTAATCGTGGATTTTTTTAGGAATATCTTCTGAATGAAATCCGAGGTTTAGAATCATGAGTTTTTTAAGAATATGTTTTGAAGGAAATCCAGAACTATAGTCGTGATTTTTTCGACTATTTTTGGGAAGAACCCTAGATAAACGTAGATTTTTAGGAATATTTTTTAAAATAGTCCCAGAGCTATAATTGTGGTTCTTTTGAAGAATATTCTTCAAAAGACCTGAAGTGTATTTATAAAAATGCTGTTCTATTGAAAGAGTGCCATAGTCTTTTTGGGCTATGGAAGCCCACAGAAGAACTTTTGTGTGTAGCATACCTCTTAAACGTCTTTGGGATTTTAAAGTTCTTTCTAAAGGTGCCTTATCGAAATAACAGTTTGAGACCGTAGGTCTAATTGTACTAAATCCCTTTCTGGAAATTTGGAATCGATCAAGGGTTTCCGTCCGTCCGTCTGGCTGGCTGGCTGTGCACGATAACACTCGAAAGGAGTATCCGATTTGACCCAAATTTGGTACATCGTAATATTATTATCAAATTTAGATCGAACTGAGAGATAGGATACGATTTTGTTGAAACTTAGAAAATTATAATATTTTTGTCAGTTTTAAGTCAGGTGGAAAAATGGACAGTATTATCCTACTCCATCAAGTACCTCCCCTACAAAGGTCAAAATTCGGAATAATTATAACTCTTATAAAATATGAAATAAGAGTTCAGTTGTCTTCATATTTCGCATATCTTAATATTTTTATTAGCACAAGATCTGGTCTAATCTGTCGATCTAATATATTGGTTCACTTCTTCTGGTATCTCCCCCACAACGGGTAAAAATTTGGAATAATTAACGCTGCGAAATAAGCCTTAAATTCTCTTTAAATTTCACCCATCCTAATATTTCTATCAACACAAGGTCTGTTTTGAAGATGGAACATATCGGTACACTACTTTTGGTACTTTTCCCACGAGGGGAAAAAATTTTGAATAATCATGAAGTTCGTAAAATGTGAAATGAGCATGCGAAACCCAATCCCAATATGTTTATCAACACAAGATCTGATTTGAATATGGAATATATCGGTTCACTCCCTTGGTACCTCCCCACAACGGTTGAAAATTTTCTATACCCACGAAGCTCGTAAAACGCGGAATGAGAATCCGATTTCTTTCAAACTTGGCACATCTCAATATTTCCATCAACCCAAGATTTGTTGTTAAGATGACAGATATCGACCCACTCCTTCTGGTACCTTCCCCACAAAGAGTCAACGTTTTGAATAACCAAAACGATCATAAATTACTAAATAAGCATCCGATTCCCTTCACATTTTACACATCCTATTATTTCGTCTGACAGATGATCTGCTGTGAAGATGGGATATATCGGCCCACTCCTTCTGGTACCTCCTCCACAGAGGGTTAAAATTTTTGAATATCCATGAAGCTCATAACATACGAAACAAATCAGCGATTCTTTTCAAATCTGGCCTATCTAAATATTTCTCTCAATCAGAAATCTGATGTGAATATGGAATTTATGCGAATGTTGCAAATCCCTAAAAATGTTAGTCTTCCCAATTCCCAAAATTTTATGGATATTGAAGCTTATATATGTCTATATATGCGCCCAGCTTAATGGAGTTTTATTCCTCACCATTGGAGTTGAGTTTAGTATTTTTTTTTATCCCAATCTCTCAGTTCAGTGTAATTTCGCTGGAGAAATTTCCATATTTCGAAATATGAAACATTTAAAAAAATGAAGTAAACTCATATTAATGACTATTTCCTATCTTCCCCCAAAAGACCCCTTGGGCGCCACGAAAAAAGTATTAGTTATGTATTTTGTTTTTTAACTGGGGGCTATATTTTTGGTACTGGTGAAATGTGTCTGTGGCTTCCAAATGAACCTCGGCGTTTGCGTATTAATGACGTCTTGCACATTTGGTGCCGGCATAACTTCAGGGGAAGGGGGTCTTTTGGCGCAAACAACAATGTGGATTATTTGTTTGTTGTTATGAGAGTTATTGTTGTTGTTATTGGTGTGTGGACAAAACAAAAACTTAAATTGTTTTCGTCGAAGATGATGATTTGTTTTGGTGGGGGATGTCGATCGGAAACAACAACAACAAAAAACAAATAGACAAACAATTTCACACCTTAGTGGACAATGCTGTGAATGAGCCAGTGACAAGTACGGCGGAAGAAAACCCAAATGACTCGATGACCCGAAAATTCAATAAGTCGTTGAAACAGTCTTAATTGGAAATTCGTTAGCGAAAGACGGGACACGCTTAAAAATCGGAACGACAAAATAAAAAAACAAAATCGGCGGATTAAAAAAATGAGTTTTTTGTTCAAGGGATTTGTATCCTTGTTGCTGTGGATTAGCCTAGTAGCTTCGCACACCCACGATGAGTTGCCTAAATGTGCCCTGACGGGGGTGCATAAAACACGCCAGACTATTTTGGAATCACCCAATTATCCGGATGATTATCCACCCGGTACCTGTTGGGATTATGTGATCAAATCACCTTTCCGCTGTCCCACCAAATTCCATATTCAATTTTTGGATTTCTTTTTGGAAAAGTCTCCAGGTTGTAAAAATGACTACCTCTCGGTGGGTTTGGATAATGTCGATGAGGATATGGATACCCTGTGTGGCCAGGTGGTGGGTATAAAAAAATATCACACCCCCGATGGAGTGTTGCGTTTACGTTTCCATGCTGATGATTCGCCCTGGTCAACGGGTAAGGGCTTTAAGCTCTTGATAACCCGGCTGGCTTGCGAAAAGGAAGAGGTTTTAAGAAATCTCAAGAGCAACGATGATGACGATGAGGAGGATAGTGATGACACGGTGACAATTACGGCACCTGGCACCCATTTGAGTCCACCTCAGGTTCAGTTGATGGAATTGTTTCGAAACATTTCAGGTGCAGATCAACATCAGGTGTATCCCTTGCCTCCTCTGTTTGGTTTGAATTATCCCAATCAGTTGGCCACGCCTCTGTATCCCACCACCTATGGGCCATTTTATTTGCCCACGGGAACATTCAATCAACAACTGCCACAGCAAAATAATTATTTGGCCACACAGCCGACGGCTGCCTCGGAAAAGGCCTGTAAGGATAGCAAACATCACACCAAGAAGCAGCAACAACAACACCACATACAACCCTATTTGCCACCATATGTGGTGAATCCTTATGTTCCGGTGACCCAGGATCAGTATATTGGCACTTGGCCCTCGACCAGTTATCTTAGGGCCCTCGATGGCGCTGGCAATGTCCTGGAAGCCTGCTGTACAACACCTTTCCAACAGAAACGATTCTACCTCTCCAGCCCTGGATTTCCCCGCACCATTTTCAGTAACCTCCTGTCCATCAATCGTCGCGATTGTGAGTTCCGCTTGCAGAAACATTCCTCGAATATTTGTCGACTTCGTGTCTCGTTTAAATTTTTCGATTTCGGCAAGAGTTCTCCGGGTCTAAGTGGCGTGGGGGGTACAATTGGTCTACCCGGTATTACGAGGAATACCTGTCCCGATGATTTCATTGAAATCGACAATCAACGATTCTGTGGCTGTCGTTCGGATTATGTCTACAATGGATTGTGGAATTATCAGGGTGATAAGAAGATACGCATGCGCATGGGTTATTCGGGTGTGCCATCGAGTGGTTTCCTTTTGGAAATAAGTCAGGAATCATGTTCGGAGTCGCAGTTTGTCACAACAACAATTAGTCCTACGTTGCCGATATCGGCACCGGTCACGGTGGGAAGTACGAATTTATTGGGGCAAAATTTCCAACAGCAACAGGGCAATTATCCGGGGCTATCACAACAGACGTTTGGGGGTCTTAATCAGCAGCAACAGCAATTGGTGCAACAACAGCAATTGGCTCAGCAACAGCAGCAATTGTTGCAACAACAACAATTGGCTCAGCAACAACAGCAGTTGGCACATTTACCCCAACAATCCTTCAATGGCCTCAGCAATCAATTCCCTCAAAATCTGCAACAAACCGGAGGCGCCAACTTCGGCCAGCAACTTTTCAATCCCCAAGGCCTGGGTCAATCGTTCCAACAAAATCCTCTCTATGCCCCCTCATTTATACCACAACATGGTGGAAATGATCTAGGATTACCCCAGCCCCATCCTCCACAATTCCCCGAGGGAGGCGGCTTTCCGGGCTACGCATACTCCAGCCCCAACCCCTTACAACAAAACCAACCATTCGGGCTACGCTATGCCCGTTCTTTCGAGGATCAAAAACCCGTTAGCATTGTGGAGACCAATTCCACACGCAAGGAATATTATTTCAGTGAGAATGCAGAGAAGGGAGATCGGGATCCTTTGCTAAGCATTGCCATGTCACGATCCAGCAAAGCCGAAGATGGAGCCTTGCGATGGGAATCGGAAGAGTTAAGGGCCAATGATAATCCTCCACAGGCCCAAGTGAGACAAAAGTGCAACTTCGATATGGGTGATATTTTACGTCTGTCCGTCGATGTGCTGTGGCTGACGAAACCCACCTGCTATGCCCCGCAACGAAATTGGTTTACGAATTTCTTGGGTTAATTTTTAAGTTTTAGAAAAAAAATGAATATCGATTATGAACGAATAAAGAAAGGATAATACCATGGTCTCTAGAGGAGGATTATTATTTTAATTTGTCGTTTTTTTAGAGATAGTTGTTTTTGTGAGCGGTAAGTAAGTGGATATTTTGTTAAAATTTCTAAAACAAGACAAAAATTAAGAAGTGCCAAGTCTGAATGGAATCGGATGTAAATTTCGGGTTTTGTGAGCTTCATGGATATTCGAAATGAACCTTTGTGGGGGAGGTATGAGAAGGAGTGGACCGATATATCCCATCTTCACAGCAGATCTTGTGTTTGTCGAAATAATGGAACGTGTGAAATTGGAGGAGAACAGGATGCTTATTTCGGATTTTATGCTCGTTTTGGTTATTCAAAATTTTAACCCTTTGTGGGGGCGGTACTAGAAGGAATGGTAACAGATATTGTGTTGCTGGAAATATTGAGATGAACCAAGTCTGAATGGAATCGTGTGTTAATTTTACGTTTTAGGAGCTTCATGGGTATTCAAAATGTTGACCCTTTGTGGGGGAAGTACCAGAAGGATTGGACCGAGGTCACACCAGACCTTGGTTTAATAAAAGTATTGTGATGTGTGTATTTTGAAGACAATCGGACTCTCGCATCACATTTTATAAGAATTACAATTATTCAAAATGTTGACGCTTTGTGGGGGAGGTACTTGATGGAATGTCCATTTTCGTACCTTACCTAGTATTGATGCAAATATTAGGATTTTTAAAGTTGGAGTCAAATCGGATTATCCTATCCTTTCTCTTTCTGAGCAGTAAAATAATTCTTTTGGAGAATTTCGAACTTTTGTGGGGGACGTAACAGAAGGATTGGGCCGATATTGTCCATCTCCGAACTCGATCTATGTTTGATAGTAGTATTACGATGCACCAAATTTGGACCAAATCGAATAATCCCTTCGGACGGACATTCTTAGATCTACTCCCAACGGATTTGGATCAAAGAGACAAAGGGTCTAAAACTGTTATTTCGATGAGGCATATTTTGGCCGTATCAAATGATATATGCGCTCTGTAGCCATATGGCTGAGGCTATAATTACAATAAACTAAAAAATACGATCAGATAATTGTCAATGCAGATTTTAGATAAATGTCTATGCAGGTCCACATTTTGGTATGGCTTCCATATAACATATTACACAAGAGGGCAGAAAATCGGGAACTATGCTGTACTCTTGGTACTCGGGTGGTTGATGTGAAGTGTGATTAGACGTCGATTGAAGGTGACGGGGTGCTTGAGGGTGACCCTCAGATTCTGACAAGTGAGCGTAACGCTGGCGTTGGGGATGGTGACGATTTCATAGTAAACGGGAATTAGTAGATTGCCGTCAGATGTTTTGATTGGTTTCGAAATTTAGGAATTCCAATGCTTATGTTCGGGATGTTGACGATTTGTAAGTAATCAGGTAGTCGTTTGTTATCAGAAATAATGAGATTGGTGCTCTTAGTGACGTCGGCTTACGGGATGTTGACGATTTGCAGGTAATTTGGAATTTCAGTGAATGGTCAACGGGCTGACGAGTGGTGGATAATCGAGGTTTACGATTTAGGTGTTTGGGATGTTGATGTCCAGATCTTTGGAAACGGGTTAGGGGACTTGTGGTATAATCGATAGGGGATGGCAGTCCACTGTAGAGATACTAGGGAGAAGGTAGCCAGGTCGTCTTAGGTTGTTCGAGTTGGCCAGCTTGCAGGTGCTATTTCGGTTTTCTAAGATGGATAGAAATTCGTTCGGGTTCGACAGCCCACTGTGGTTATGTTCGAGAGCGATTTCTAGGTCTTGAGGAGACGGCAGTCCACAGCTTGAGTTCGAGTTCGGCAGCTGACTGTGGTAATGTTCGGGTTTAGTTGTGTGGGTTGTCCATAATGGCTAGGAAATTCAATTAACTGCCAGTGTTTGAGCTATGAGACTGTAAAACGAGATGGATCTCCTGCGGAATAATGAGCCGAAGCTCCTGCGAAACAGCGAGCCGAAACGCATGTGTAAATGAATTATCGGCCACTGATATTAGTGGGAGGGAGAGCCCAGCTAACGATTCTGTTAATCGAAGTACAGAAAATACTTCACCAACTACTCTTTGGCAAGCCCCCTGCATTATGCAAGCCTCCCTCATCGTAAACAATGCCGAAAACTGTATGTGACCGGCATTATAAAGTTATTGCGAATTATATACCTCATGAGGATGAAACCATCACGTTACACGATTTCAATGTAATTGTAACTTCACCCAGATCCTCTAGATTCAGCTAATGATTCTGTTAGTCGGAGCACAGAAATTGATTCAGAAAATCACTTTGGAAAGCCTATCTCAGCGTAACCCAAACCGAAAAAGGGTGAGATAAAAAACTGCAACCAAGTTAAACGCCATCATTTTTACATTTTTTTAAATTCTATTGAATGAAAGCAAAAACTGTCGGAAATAGCATCAAATTTTAGACTAAGTTTAGATTTGTTCGAACTGGTCACCATTGGCACGAATTATGGCCTTCAAACGGATAATGAAACGTCACACGCTGTCCGAAGGTTGCTCTGCGGTATTTTGGCCCATTCCCGGCCATTTTTAGTGTCAACCTTGCTTTCCAAAATACTTCAGACGCAATAGTCCAACGGATTGGTATCCGGAGATTTTGGTGGCCATTGTGCGCTGGAAATGAAGCAAGGAATCTCATTTTGTGGAATGTCCAAGGTCTGCGGCCAAAATGTTTGCGTGGCCAAGGCTACAACACACTCTTCAAAATATTTTTGCTACAATATTCGGCATTTATTTTGATGCCACGGTCGATTAATACGAGGGGAGAGCGACCATCGGCTGTTAGGCAGCCCACACCATCACCATGGCCTGCGCTTGAGTTCTGGTGGCCAACAGAAGATGCACATTTTCTGCTGACCTCTTTGTCAACTAAACACGATCATTTTGTTTGGTTACAAACTGCTGGACAACGAATGTTTTGTCATCGGAGAAACCCAAATTCGGCAGTTCACCACTTTCGGCCAAGCGAAGCAACTTTTTAGCTCTTTTGAGTCTATTTTCTTTCTGTTGCGGTGTAAGTTCTTGCATATTTTGGAATTTCAATGGCTTTACTCCAAGCTCAGTTTTCAATATTTGCAGAATGGAATATTGCGATATATTCGGCTCACGAGCCACTGCGCCGCGGGTTTTGATCAAGTCGCTTCTTTACTTTTCGCACTATTTCTGCTGATGTTGTTGATGATGTTTTCTTTCGTCCACTTCCTAGACGTCAGGCTAGTATCACGGTAACGAGCGATGGTACGAGACACAAAAGATTTATTTACATTTAAGTGCTGGAGTGCTCTTACCATAGCCACATGTGGTTTTCCAGCCAAATATAAAGAAATCACACTTGAAATCCATCACGAATAGCTTTTTTCCTGGAAAATTCTCACCAAAATGCTTTTGTGCACTTGTAAACAATATAATGAGCTGTCACTGAAATAATTTTAACAGCTGTCGGACGAGTGGCTTCGAAATGACAGCAGTCTGAAGTTGGTTGCAGCTTTTCTCACTTTGTATATGTGACCAAGTGAATGAGAATTATTTGCCTTTTGAGAATAAAATAATCACCATACATGAATATGCTAGCCAACCAAAACCAACACAACACATTTGAGTATGTATGTTTCACAGATTAGAACATCGAGAGAGTAACTCTCCCTCTCTCTCTCGGTAAACATTGTGTGTGTGTTAATCCACGCGAAGTTCAAAATCACCAATCCTCCTACTTCATTGAAAGCTGAAAAGCTACTGAGTGTTTGCAAAGCAAATTTGTTGTTGGTAAAGAAGCATAGACAAATTAAGATATAGACAACGAAAAGTTAGTTTGGTCTTTTTTTCCAGGTGGCTCTCATCATGTTTTGCATAGTCAACATGCTCATTTACGCGTTCAAGCCACTCGACTTCGAAAACACATTTCATCGTTTTTCAAGAATTTCACTTGATTATTCCGGAATTTTTTGATGTCTTCTCGTAATTTTCACATTTATTTTATTATGGAACAATTTCCAACTGACAAATATCCTACAGTTTTTGTTATTTTTAACGTTTTAGAATTGAGTGACTTCAATATTCCCACTCAAACCCCTGAAACGATATAGACGACATCTGCTGATTCGATTTTTTTCGAAGATAAACGGTGAGAGCATTTCGTTGTCTATATTTTCATTTGTCTATGTAAAGAAGTGAACAGTTATGCTGGTGAGTTTAATGATTGATGGCATAGACAAATGAAAATATAGACAACGAAATGCTCTCACCGTTTATCTTCGAAAAAAATCGAATCAGCAGATGTCGTCTATATCGTTTCAGGGGTTTGAGTGGGAATATTGAAGTCACTCAATTCTAAAACGTTAAAAATAACAAAAACTGTAGGATATTTGTCAGTTGGAAATTGTTCCATAATAAAATAAATGTGAAAATTACGAGAAGACATCAAAAAATTCCGGAATAATCAAGTGAAATTCTTGAAAAACGATGAAATGTGTTTTCGAAGTCGAGTGGCTTGAACGCGTAAATGAGCATGTTGACTATGCAAAACATGATGAGAGCCACCTGGAAAAAAAGACCAAACTAACTTTTCGTTGTCTATATCTTAATTTGTCTATGTTGATGGTGAGTTTTATACACAAAACTATGATTGTGTGCGAGGTGTGTTGAATTTCACATGGGTGGTGTTTTGGCAATCCCTGCTCCTATACTTACCGCTTCAAAAAACAAACTTGAACATAAAATTACACAATTGACAGTAGATATTGTCATTACTAAATAAAAAACAAATTTATTCGAGAATTATGTTTTTTTCTTTTTCAACTACAACAACACAAAAAAAAGGAATCTCAGAGAGTATAAAATGTGTATATATATTTTCTCCTATAAAAATATTTCGCAAAGCTTCGACATTTACATTAGCAAATATAGCAAAAGCTGGACACAAAAGCGCTCATTCTGTTTCTCTGTTTTTCACTGCTTTTCTAGAAATATCCTGGAAAGAAAATTTTCGAAATAAAACAAATGTTGGATAATTTCGTGTGAAACAAAGGGTGCCAAAGGGGGAAAATGAAAAATGGGGTGCCAAAAAATAGTTAGTTTTTACAGAAAAGATTTGGAAGAATTTTGAGAATCTTTTTCTTTTGGGGTTCAGAAAAGTTAGTTGATAAGGAAAGCTGTTAGGAGGGTTACAAGTGTTGCCATACACCAGGTGTTGAGTCCACTACCACCACTACTGACCAAATGTCGATTCATGGATTCAGCCACTATGGCCGAGGTACGTGAATTGACATGATAATCACCTGGTAACTTGAGTAGATCGGGATTTGCACCGGGGCTGAAGGGAGCCAATGGTACGGAGCCCTCGGGTATGGTGAAGGGTGTTGTCTGCAGGGGAGCTAATGCCACACCTTGGGCTGTGGGTTGAATTGTGGCCTCTGTTGCGTGTAACTCAGTTGAGCTGGCTGCTGCCAATGGGGCCGATGTTGTTGAGATGGGAGTGGTTTCTGTGGAGCCGGTGGCAGCAGGAGCCGCTGCCGCAGCAGCTGCTGGTGCTGGTTCGGGAGCAGGGGCATTATAGCAGGCAATTTTTTCTACTTCAATGGTCTTGGTGCTGTCATTGGGATCAGGTTCCGGTACTTTGACAGGAACGCAAATAATGCCACCGGCAGCAGGAGCGGCAGCAGGTTCGGCTGGTACAGCTGCTGGGGCAGCTGCAGGGACTGCGGGAGCTGCACTTGAATCTGCACCACCTGCCATGGCTGCTCCAGCAACGGCCGCTGTTGCAGCACCAGCTGCAAGGGCGGGGACTGCAGCAGCTGCAACACCACCACCTGGATTGCTTTGGTCTGGTACTGGATTTGTGGCCTGGGTGGGTATGGGACCAGGTGCGCCGGCAGGTGGATCAGGATATGTGGGATTCATGGGAGCCAAATTTGCACCAGCTTGACTATTATAGGTGGGTGCTGGAGCGGGTGCAGCTGGCTGGCCTCCATTGGTTGTAATAACAGTGGTGCCACCACCAACATCTTGTGTCGTCACCGAACCCGGAGGACCATTATTGATGATGATAATCTTGTCATCATTTTGGGCAGCAGGAGCAGCAACACCGCCGCCACCACCTCCATAACCGCCGCTGGGAACATGTTCAATAACCTTGGTGTGGGTGGGGGTAAGGGCATGACCCAAAATGGCACCAGTCAAACCACCGGCCAGTAAACCGCTACCTGTTTAAGAAGGGGTCATTTAAAGGTGGTACTTTGAGATTTTATCTATTTACTTACCAAAACCTAGGCCAGAGGAGGACTTCTGGGGCTGCTGAATAAAGGTGGCCCCTGCGGGTATGGCCGAACCGGCCGGCAAGAATGTGGCACCAGCTGGCAGCGCCTGGGCCGAGGGATAGTACATTGGAGCCTGAACAGGAGGTGAAGGATAATAAGTTGCTCCCGCCGGCAAGGCACCAGGACTGTGGTAGGTTGCCCCAGCCGGCAAGGCTCCGGGACTGTGATAAGTGGCACCAGCAGGCAGAGAGGAGGCCGAAGGATAATATGTGGCACCAGCCGGTATTTGACCGGGAGCATGATAGGTGGCTCCAGCTGGCAATTGACCCGAGGGGTGATAGGTTGCTCCAGCCGGCAATTGTCCTGCCGGGTGATAGGTAGCGCCAGCTGGCAAATGACCTGCCGGATGATAGGTGGCTCCGGCAGGAAGCGATGAGGCCGATGGATAATAGGTTGGTGCTCCCGATTGTTGCTTGGGATAACTGGACTGTACACTGTGGGCATTGGTTGCGGTTATGGGTGTGTGGACCCCACCGCCAGTGCCAAATCCTCCGGTGGAATTGAAACGATTGCGATTATAGCTCGATTGTTGGCTATTGTAGTTGGTGGCACTGACCGGACGATTGTTGTAGTTTGTGGAACTGGCTGGACGATTGTTGGCATTTGTGGCCGCCGAATAGCTGGGTGGTGCGGAATAGCTGGGATTATAGGCTGGTGACTTTTCATACATATTGGTCTTGGCCCCACCCACGGGATTTGTGGCCGAATATGCTGGCGGAGGTCCTTGAGGTTTGGGTGGCACATTCCAACCTATGGGTGAGGTGGTTGGCCGGGCCGGTGAACTATGGGTGTTGCTGGCATGACTATTGGTAATGTGGGTATTACTGCTGCTGCTGGGACGTTTATTGGCCTGTTGATTATAGCCAGCATAGCTCAAGGAAGACAATCCCGTGTGAGACAGAGAAGGATTCGAGTGGGAGGTGCTGCCACCTCCGCTATAGGAATTCGATCTGTTATTGGTATTGGTACGCCTTACACTCGACGATGAGGAGGACGACGAACGACGACTGCCACTGGAACTGTAAATACGTTTGGCTTCAACATTCAGGTCATGACTCAGCAATAGTACTACAAGGGTCAGCAGAATGCAATTGATTTTATTTCTATCACGCTTTGCCATTTTTGGATTTTTGTTTTTGTTTTAACGACCTGCAGGCACCCTTCTTGGTTGCTTCAGTTGCTAAATTCTGTAATTGAATGAAATAAGAGAAAAACAAAAACCGACAGATGAGAATTAATTCAATAAATTAAATAAATTTTAGTGCTCTCGAAGTTACGCCGCACCAAGAAATTGCCCACGATTGCCGACATCCGGTGGCTAAATTACATTGTTTTTTATTTGTGAGATCTTGTCACGTCTTCGTCTCATCTTGATCTCGTTTACATGATGCGAACGAACATGGTTGGAATCAAGTGATTGCAAGAAATTATGAAAGGCAATAGAAAGTGACAAAATATTCAATTAACAAATATTACGTAGACGATTTTTGGGAAAATTCCAGAATTTTTCAGAATTTTTCTTAAAATAAAGTTGGAAAATAGAAAAAAATACTGTTGAAAGCCAAGTCTTTGCTGTGTTCGGCCTCTTACTCTCTCTCACACAAAATGATTCTAAAATTAGTAAAATGACGGAGAAGCCGGTGCATGTTATCAACTCGAAATGCTTGTATTTTCAGCTGTCAGTGAAGTCAGTCAGCGGTCAGTAAAGTACTGTAAGAAGTTCAATGGCTGATACTCCCCTCAAGTTGCTGAGAGAGAAAAGGTTCTGATCAGGGCAAATCTTAAGACAGAGCGGAAGTTCAAAAAGTAAATAAAGCAGCTAAGTTCGGCCGGGTCGAACTTTTCATACCTCCCCCACTTGGAAGAAACTTGAAAATTTTCAAAAAAAAAAAAAAAATCGTCAAAAATATCGCTGAAATGAATACCGTTAAATGTGCGTCATACGAAGACGTGGTCCTGCATAAGTAATTTGTGTCATAGGCTGTAGTAACGGTTCCGAACTTTATATACGTAATTTGAAACAATTCAGGTGAGTAATGTCGCAAAAATCATGAAAATACCGAATATCTGGGGGTACCGTTATATGGGCGCTATGCTAAAACGTCGACTTATTTAGGCAATTCTCTTCTAGGGTGTAAAGCATTCCGAAGGAACCTCTTTTGTGGATTTTACGAAAATTCCATTGACATTTTTGGCTGAAATCATAAAAATACCGAATATCGGGCAATATCGGGCGAATATCGATAAAATTTGGCAAAGGTATTTCCGAGCTATATAAGGTATATGCTACGAAATATCATTGTTGTCGAATGCATATTACGAATGTGAGCAGAGCAGAGCAGTGTGTAAACAATGAAAAAGATCGTCTTTACTTGCCAAAGAGGTCAGCTAAAAATGTGCACCTTCGGTTGGCCACCAGAACTCAAGCACCGGCCATGGGGATGGTGTGGGCCGCCATAGCAGCCGATGGTCGCTCTCCGCTCGTATTAATCGACCATGGCATCAGAATAAATGCCGAATATTATTGCGAAAATATTCTGGAGGTTGTATTAAAGCCTTGGGCACGCAAACATTTTGACCGCAGACCTTGGACATTCCAACAGGACTCAGAACCATCGCACCCAGCACGCGCCACCCAGAGAATGTTTACAAAATGAGGTTCTTCGCTTCATTTCCTGCGCACAGTGGCCACCAAAATCTCCGTATACCAATTCGTTGGACTATTGTGTCTGGAGTATTTTGGAAAGTAAGGTTGGCACTAAAAAATACCAAAGTATCGATCACCTCAAGCAAGCGCTTTGCCGGGAATGGACCAAAATACCACAGAGCAACATTTGGGCAGCGTGTGACGGTTGCATTGTCCGTTTGGAGGCCATGATTAGTGCCATAAGTGACAAATTCGAAAAAATCTAAACTTATTTTAAAATTTGATGTTATTTCCGACATTTTTATATCCTCCACCTTGGAAAGGAGGGTATATTAACTTTGTCATTCCGTTTGTAACATCCTTAAATATTCGTCGTAGACCCCATACGTAGACCCCATATATAGTATATATATATATTCATAATCAGCATAAAATTCTAAGTCGATTTCCGTCTGTCTGTCTGTATGTTGAAATCACGATGCAGCCCACATTATTTGACGTAGAGCGCCAAAATTTAGCAGAGCAATTAGCCCCCATATAACGGTACCTCCCGATATTCGGTATTTTGATGGTTTTTGCCACATTTTTGCACTGATTGGTCTAAAAATTGGTATTTGTAGGTCATAATGGGTTCTAGCTCCGTTGGCGATACATTACATGTGTAGGTCCACGATTTGGTATAGCCCCCATATAACGATACCTCCCAATATTCGGCATTTTAATGGTTGTTGTCACATATCTTCTAATGTTTCCTTTACCCTAAGGTGGAAGGTATTAAAAGTTTGGCCCGGCCGAACTTAATGCTTTTTTACTTGTTTGCTTTCATTCAATAAAATTGAAGGAAAATATAAAAATTATAGCGCTTGACTTTGTTGAATTTTTTTTCTCACCTAAAACTATATCTGAAGCGATTTTCGCAAAATTTGATGTATTTGCTTCTAGACTGAATTTGGTTGAAAGTGCAAAATTCAGGTCATTTTGAATCGGTTGAAGCTATATATAGGAGGGTTCTTCCTTGCGGCAAACAAATATTCTTTGGAAAATTTCATCTCAATCGGATAAGAAATGCGACCTGCATTTTGTTCACTAGATACATGGACAGATGGACGGACGAACAGGCGGGCTGATATGCATAAATCGACTCAGTGATTCTATGATTCCTCAAAAGTAACTATAGGTCTACCTCGCTCTATTCTTCATGTTACAAACAAATGCTCAAAGACATAATACCCTTACCACCATGTGATGTAGCTACCCTTAACCTTATTCTGAAGAATTTCATTGAATTTTACTTAAATCGCATTTTATTTCATATTCGTGCTATTTGTAATTAAACGAATTCTCTAAGCTGAGCAACAACAACACAAAGAAATCTTATCACAAAAATTAATGCTAAACTGCCGAAAGCTTGACTTAGGATGAACTCTGTAGCTGATAAGCTTGAATGTTATTCCAGATTAGAGAGCACAATTTGCGGAATAACAAACGATGGGAAATGCCTGTTCATGATTAATGTGTCAAAAATATATACAAACAAATGTACATATTTATGTTTGCAGTATAAAAAAAATATTAAGAAACAGACTGTGTAAAGTAAATATTACATTGAATTAATTGGATTGGATTGAAAATTCGTAGAGGTCCAGTCAATAATTTATTGAGCATTGGGAAAAAATATAGCATTTTTGACTTAAAAATGTAGATAAGAATAACATATATAGAAATTAAGTCTAGTTCAATGTCAGGGGAGACAAAGTGTATACTGAGAAAATGGGATTTTATACATTTTTTCATTTTGGAGCTTAACGAGGAGAGTATTAGTGGAACCATTTCACAATGGATCCACATCCAATTTTTCTGTCCAAAACAATTTCAACGTCTCCATATATAAACACTAGCAAGCAACAGTGGCCTCAATATTAAATTATAGTATTTCAGCTTTGTAATTTCCCTCAATTCAATGAACAACTTGCACCTTTCCATCCTGAACACCAACAGTGACTACTACTTTTCGAACAAAATATTCATTCACTATCCAATTTAGTACCACATTTTCAAAAAAAAAAAAAAAAAAAAAAAAAAAAATCGTCATACCTTCCCCACAGACACCAAAAGTGACTTTAATATAAAATTTCAGGATTTCAGCTCTATCTCTTCACCTAATACCAATTTTAGACACATTAAGTACTTTTCGTTCAATTATAGCACACATTGTCAAAACCACCCTCCATATCTCAATTCTAGATACCATCAGTATCCAAATATCAAAATTCAGAATTGTATCTCCATCCCTACATTCAATACTAAATATAAAACCATTTAGTACTTTTCGAACAATTATATTACACATTTCCAAAATCATCTCCATATTTTAACCACAGGCGCCAACAGTGACATCTGTATCAAATTTCAGAATTTCAGCTCTAATCCATTACCCAATACCAAATGAAGTACTATTTAGTACCTTCCATACAACTATAGCACACAATTTCAAAACCACCTCCATATCTCAATTCCAGATGCCCTCAGTAATCCAAATATCAAAATTCAGGATTTCATCTCTATCCCTTCACCCAACACCAAATATAGTACCATTCAGTACTTTTCGTACAATTATAGTAGTAGTCATTTCCGAAACCAATTTTATATGTCCAAGCTACAGATGTATAGCGACCCTAATACCAAATTTCAGATTTCAAGCACTATCTGTTTAACCAATACCAAATTGTATCTAATATAGTACTATTCGTGCACTTGTAGTACACTTTTCCCACACCCAATTCCCAATTCCCACACCATCCGTTCACCCTTTACTTTCCAACCTTGATTCACATAACAAATTTTTGGCTCTGTCTGGTCAATTAATACCATTTTAGAATTTTAGTATTATTTCAGAACTTTTTGTAACATTAAATTCCAAATTTCGGAAAGCCCTTTGGCATATGTATCCTGCACTTCTTCAGCGTCTCTCATTCTAAATTTCAGAATCTAGCTCATTCCGTTTGTCCAATACAAAGTATTGAATTTTTAATACATTTTAGTAATTTTCGAACTCTTTATGAATTTCCAAAAACCAAGCCTTCCCACTCGCCTACGAACTAAGACTGACCCTTGTGCAAAATTTCGCCTGGGCGTTGATTCTGGATCAGTCAGTCAGTTACTCACCACTTTTTATACCCTCCACCATAGTATGGAGGGTTTATTAAGTTTGTCATTCCATTTGTAACACCTCGAAATATACATTTTAGACCCTACAAAGTATATGTATATTCTTGATCAGCATAAAATTCTATGTCCATTTAGCGATGTCAGTCCATCTGTCCGTCTGTGGAAATCACTCTAGCTTCCGAACGAAATGAAGTAGATTGATAAAATTTTACTCAAATGTATATTATGTCTGCAGGACTTTTGTTATTGAAAATGGGCCATGTATGCCCTTCGTATAGCCCCATATAATGCTACATCCCGATTTTCGGTATTTTGATGATTTTAACGACATTATTCACCGGAATTGTTTCAAATTTGATATTTGAAGTTCGA